TGAGTGGTGAGCTGTGGCTGTGTCTTGTCACATCTGCAACCCCCATGAGGCACCCAAATGTGTCGTTTCCTTGCAGTGAGTGACCCGGAGCTGTGCTACATCGGCACCGAGCCCTGGAAGCCCAAGGAGGCCCTGGAGGACGGCGGCGTCATAACCGACAAGGCCGACATCTTCGCTTTCGGGCTGACGCTCTGGGAGATGATGACGCTCTCCGTGCCCCACCTCAACCTGGACAATGACACCGAGGACGAAGGTTTGTGTCCGTACCTTGTTCAGAGCAACTTCCAGCCCCTCTTTGGAGGAATCCCAGAATCCCAGCATGTCAGGAGTTGGAAGGGACCTGGAAAGCTCCCCCAGTGCAACCCCCCCAGAGCAGGATCACCAGAGCAGTCACACAGGAACACGGCCAGGGCTTTGGGTGTCTCCACACAAGGACACTCCACAACCTCTCTGGGCAGCCTGGGCCATGCTCCAGAACCCTCACACTCACAAACTTTGGCCTCATCTTCAGCTTGAACCTCCTGTGCTCCAGCTTGGGACCATTGCCCCTTGTCCTGCCATTGGACATCAAGGAGCTTTATGGGCTCCCAAAATGCTGGGTGCCATCTGAGCATCTAACTCCAAATGAGGAGTTGATCAATGATGGTAAGAAATCGTTGTAAAACAATGCTCTTTAACAGCTGGGGAAAGCTGGACATTGAGATTCCCATCAGTGAGGTTTGGAAGATGTCCCCAGATCTGACTGCTGCTCCCCTGAGATCCCTACAGTTGCTTGGTCCTGCTCTGGCTCTGTCCCAGCAGCGTAGGAGCAGTCCCCTGGGCTGTAGCTGTGTGGTGGGTGCTGTTGAGGTACCACCAGAACAGCCTAAAATGCCATCGTGCTCGAAACGGGGCATAAAAATATCTGAGGCAGCTGAGCCTTTCGGAAAGGAGAAGCTTAGGAGCTGCATCTGCGCTGCCAAACACCCGTTCACCACCAAACCACGGCCCCAGCTGCCACATCCACACGGTTTTTGGACACCCTCAGAGATGGGGACTCCACCACTGCCCTGGGCAGCCCCTGCCAGGCCCTGAGAACCTTTTGGGGAAGAAACTTCCCCTCAGATCCAACCTCACCCTCCCCTGCCACAACTTGAGGCCATTTCCTCTCGTCCCACCGCTTGTTTTGGGGAGCAGACACCAACACCCACCCCTCTTGGTGAGATGCTCCAGCTACAGCCAGCAGACAAGGCAGGGGATGCTACACCTGCAGATTTACCCCCTGGAGCAATATAAAGCTCAAAACTCCTCAGGGCTTTGCTGGGAACATTCCTCTCGCTCCAAACTTGGTGTTGGCACGGCCCCATGGGCTGGTTTGTGTTTTCTACCTCCGTTTCCAAGGGGATTTGATTTCCTCATTCTCCTCTCAGCGTCTCCTGGCCGCGAAGCTTTTCCCCAGGCAGCTCTGCAGGGGTGAACTCAGCTCCAAAACAAGCGATTAAAGTCAAAGAGAAAGCAATGATGGAGCCCAGGCTGTGATTAATGCTAAGAAAGGAGCAAAAAGCCCCGCAACCCAAGGGAGCAGAGCAATTCCTGACCCATTTTGCCACCTTTTCCTCCTCCAGATGAATCCTTCGATGAGGACACCTTCGACGACGAAGCGTATTACGCCGCGCTGGGAACCCGCCCGGCTCTCAACATGGAAGAGCTGGATCAGTCCTACCAGCACATGATCGATCTCTTTTCCGTCTGCACCAGCGAGGACCCCAAAAAACGTCCCTCGGCCGCGTGCATCGTGGAGGTTTTGGAAGCAAATTTGCTCCAGGAGTAAAAGCATCTGAGCAGGGATGGAATTTAAAGAGTAAATCTCCTCCTGTTGTTGTTGTTATACTTTAATAGCAGAGCATAAATTCGCTTAATCCCTGATTAACATGAGGTGACCGGGGCTTGCTCCGCTTCTCCCACCGAAAGTTTGGCCCTAAAATAAGCTAAATCCTCTGTGCAATAGTTGTGCTCTTAGTTGCCATGTTACGACTGGTTTAAAACCCCCCTTTCTCTTCTTCTTCGTGTTGAATTAAGGTAGAGAAATGTTAGAATAAACTGTTTTGTTATGAAAGTGGTTTGTCTTTTCCTAAAGTGCGAGCATCTCTGCAAGCATTGGTAAGGGAAAGCTGAAGGAAAAGATTTCCTGATACAACAGGTTGCTATAAAACCATTGTAACAGAATCCCAGAATATGAGGAGTTG